GAAAATATGATATTAGGTTAATTTCAACATAGCCCTTATTTGTGCCTTTAAAGCTGGTGGTACAAAAGGCATAGATCTGCAAGTATTGCACCTGTGTTTTCTGCAAGCTAATATTGTCCAAAGTTGGAATCAGTCCTGATGGAGTAGTGACATGACAAGATCATGTTGTACAGGCTGTAGATATCTAGTGTACATGGAATATCATACATCTTGTAAGAACATAGTGCACATTGTAGGCCCAGCTGATGCTCTGCAACATGTAGGATTACTGTAGCATGTATTCCCTTCTAACACTACTTAGTTCCTGTTGTAGCAATAGCTAAAGGCCTGTGGTTGCCAACCCAGTCAAGGTCAACCCACTGCTGTTCCTTTAAGCACCCAAATCTGTTTCATGGGGAATAGGAGATAGGGACAGTTACTGGGAGTGGTGATGGCCCAAACTTGGATTGGACATTACCAAAGTGAAATAACTGTGGGGATCCTTTTGTTGTTGATATGAAGCTAAAGGACAAGGAGTGGAGTTTTACTTTGTGTGTGTGTGTGTGTGTGTGTGTGTGTAAAAATTTCCACTTTTCAGTGTTCTTATGTTATTTTGATATTAGTTTTTTTCTGAATATAAGTGAAGTTTCTGAAGTGTATGTGATAAACCTATATTTTATTGACTGTTCTTAAGTAAGTGTTTCATAGATATGAGGGTGGAATGAACTGCATGCAGATGTCCAGGTTTGGCACTGAGAACCTCCACAGGTGGTGTCTGTAAGGAGAGGCTAGTGCTGCCCTGTGCCAGACACAATTATTCTGTTCATCTCTAAAAGAGACTCGCTATAGGATAAAGCCAAGACCTTCATGAGCAAAGGGTGGTGGTACCTCTGGGAGAATGTGTTTTAAGAGTAGAGGAAAATGCAGTGGTATAAAGTTAAAAAAGGGAGAAACAACTCTGTGAACACCAAGGTCCTTGATGAGGAAAGCAGAAAAGATATTCTAGTCACTGGAGCAGGTCAGGGAGACCATGGTGGGACAAGTATTTCCTTGAAACCTGTGTAGGACCCCATGCCAGAGGAGGTAGGTATTTTCAGGAAGAACTGAAGCCCATGGGGGATCCACACTGGAGGAGTTCCTGAAGTACTGTAGCTTGTGGAAGGGTTCCCATGCTGGAGCAGCAGCCAAAAATGTGAGAAGGAAGGAATGATAGAGAGGAAACATTATGGACTGATCTCCTACTATCCAACTCTGTTTCAATTGGCAATAAATTAATATGTTATTTTTGCTATTTAATGTATTTTTTTCCAAGGATGGTATTCATAAGTGATCTCTCTGTTTTTAATCTTCAACCATTGTATTTGAATCTTATTTCTTCCCCTCTTCTTTTGATGAGGAAGAGTGAGAGAGCAGCTGGTGGGGGCCAAAGTCAACTATCACAAGGCCTTGACTTCTTTAGTCAGATGTTTGTTTCAAATGTCCGTAGTTTTTGAAAACTTCCTAGCAGGGCAGACTAGCTTACTGCTGGAAAGTTTTAACTCTTGTGGTGTTCAAGGAGTAAATGATTCCTATAAGCTCTGTTTGTGGCGATGATTTGTTTGCTGTAGAAAGTTTGTCAGGTGTATGGTAAATATACAAGGAGCTTTGGCTGTACTTATGAACATTTTTTCTTGGGTTTCTTTCAGTTCCCTTTTGGGAGTTTGACTTTTGCCTTGATCTGTCTCATACTGTCATTCCCTCTTACTGCTTGCTTAGTTCGTTCTCTTCATCTCCTGCATTCCCTTATTTAGTGTATTGTGCTGTTCTGTATAATCCTCTTCCTACTCCCCTGCCCAATGCTGTTGTAAACTGCCATAATTTTTGTGGCTTAAGGCTCTTAATCCTACTATTTATCTAATCAATCTAAGTTTCCTCAGATCAGAACCTGCCAAATTCTCCTCTTCCTGCCAGTTGTGTCTTAGGTGTCCTAGTGTGACTTGAAACATGCTCTCATTTGTCAGTTTTTTATTCATTTGACATATCATCTCTCACTCCATAATGAACAAGCTGATCCATTTTTGTTGAAAACAGCTTTGTTTTTTAAAAGCAGAACTGGTTTTGTGAATTCATGTTTTATATTTCTTTAATTTATTTTTAGATGCTGGATGTCTACAACATTCTTCCTTTTGATAATCCAGATGGTGGCGTTTGGAAACAAGGGTTCGATATCACATACAATGAAAATGAATGGGACAGTGAACCACTTCAAGTTTTTGTGGTGCCTCACTCACATAATGATCCAGGTAATATATTAGCTGTATTGATTTGAATATCTAGGGGCTTTTGAATTAAGCAATATATTGCCATTTCTGTTAATTGGGTTTTTTTGAAGCATACTACTTAATGTTGGAATTAAGTGTAACAAGGCAGCTAAGCAGATGTATAATTCAAGTGCAATTGACTTCAAATGACAACAGTTATGATAAAAGTTGTACATCTACTTATTTATTAGCTGGACTAGAACGTCAGTGTTGGAAATGGAAGGTAACATGAATGTTCTGTGTTTATCCTTCTGGTAGCCTATTCAGTATATTCATTGCTGCTTTAAAAACAGCCTGTTCTTATTTTGACCTTTTTGGCTGTTATAGATACTTAAGCCTTAGCCTGTGCTAAAGAGATGTGCTTTTGGAAGATGTGACAATGGCAAATCTGAAGCTTTTGACTACAACACGTTCTTTATTGTTTTGTGCATACTCTCAACCTACAGTGGCATAATATGAAGTCTAGACTTAAACAGAAGCCTAGGTATGGCTGCATAATTTCACTTGTGCCCAAGACAGATGTTTAGTCTGTAATCAGTACAATGGAGAAGTGTTCCTTTATTTTGAAATCACTGTAAAATATACCAAGAAGCAGTGACTTTTACTGCTACAGACACTTCATGAATCTGAAGCAATCCTAAAGGAATATATAGAACTTTTGATTCTACTTAGAAGTTCTTCTGCTGAAGCTAGTAGGATCACATCCTAACTGGCGGAAGACTGTTGGCATCCTGAAAGAGGCCACTTGCCTGGTGTCACATCAGCCCTCCTCAATTGACTTTAGCTGAATTGGACAAAGCCCCCATGCACAATGTAGTCTGAGGTAATTTCTCAAGAGCACAAGACATGGGAGCTTCAGGGGAATATCCTGAGGAAAGCTACAAATTGATTTGCAGAAAACTTCACCGGTGTCTATTCAAGTCATGAGGTTCAGAAGGGGCTCACTGCTCTGGCATGGATTTTGAAAATTTTTAAAAAATATTTTATATGACCAGTTTCTGCTGCCATTCCGAAAGATCTCTTTGGAGATCTTTTACCTTTCTGACCTCTGGCCTTCTACTTTCCCCTTCACATCTAGCTTCCAGTCATGCCATATATAATCAGCTGTGGTAGATTTTCACAGCCGTTGCTTTTTTAGTATGACAGCCTTTGGCACTGGGTACCTTAATAGTGTTTGGTTCATTCTATAGCACCAGTTCTGCTTCCCAAAAGTGACCCACTGAGCATTCATTCTAAGCAATTTGAGTTTACTGAACCTCTCTCACATCAAGATCATACAGGGGATCTGGACAGCCTGGATCAATGGGTCAAGGCCAACAGTATGAGGTTCAACATGGACAAGTGTCAGGTCCGGCCCTTGGATCACAACAACTCCATGCAGTGCTACAGGCTTGGGGCAGAGTGACTGGAAAGCTATCTGGTGGAAAGGACCTGGGGGTGCTGGTCCACAGCAGCTGAACATGAGACAGCAGTGTGCCCAGGTGGCCAATGCAGCCATTGGCACCTTGGCCTGCATCAGAGACAGCGTGAGCCACGAAAATTACTAAACTTCTAAGGCACAGATAGATATCAAAGCATAGATACTGCTGTATAACCACACCAATACCTTTTCCCATTTAACTTCTTGTGTTATCAGTTGTGGAATTTCCTGTGCTTTCCCAGTAAGAACTTCCTATTTACCCAGGAATTACGTTAGCATGTGTGTGTCTGTTTCTTAATTTTACATGTGAATGATGCCTCTTAGTGCATCTCAGAGTTCCATTTAAGGAAATTTAATCTGATTTGGTTTTGCCCTTTCCAGCACTGCTCTGGCCCTCTTCCAAGCATAGGGATGTAGGCCATAGTGAACATAGCTTCAGAGATGGATTTTTGCAAACGAGTCATGAAATAAATCTGTAGTAAGGTACTTGTCCTTTCATCAAAGAGAGAAGTCCTCCCTCTGACTGTTCCTTCAATTGCAGGGTTTAAAGAATTCTGTTTTGAGAGCTGTCTCCCATCTTTCTGTTGCAACCTTTTTTCTCACATGTATTTTTCACAAGGGCTTGCCTGAAGTCTTAATACTGTTGTCATTCATGTTTGAGAGCTGACTTTCTTATTGGTCTTTAGTTTTTCTTCCTAAGTCTTCGTTCTTAATATCCAAGTTCTTCATGCTTTTACTTTAAAATCATCAGCAGCTAAAATCAAGAAATCTGCATCTCCTCATGCATACAAGCTAAATATCTCCCAGTTTGTTTGGACTTCTCAACTGATATCCCATAGACTCAAAACTGAGATATAATTCTGATAAATGGAAACTGTTCCTTCACCAAAGGTGACTGTGTGAGACTGTTTGCTTTTGCAAAGAGTGTTATCGTAGAAATCTCCTGACTTGGTCTTTAGGTAAGGACATTTCTGTGGAATTGTCTGCAGTATGAAATTGCATATTAATAAGCACTTGAAAGAAGGAAAATTTGTCTGTAACAAACATCTGAAATCACTTGTATGGCTAATGATTACATTATTCCTTTCCAACAGAGGACTAAAAAGCATTGTGCAAAGGAAATGCCTTCTGGAAAAAGAGCTTAAGACATCATGAACTTATAGTGTAACAATGTATGTGAAAGATATTTGCTAAGAAATGGGGTCAGTAAAGATATCACTATATAAGCTGCAGAAGCTTTAAAATATCATTAGACTTTGTTTTATCATCTGATGCTACTCTAATTTCTCATGTAACCAGTTATGCTAGTGAGAATGTGTAGCTCAAAGGCAAAGAAACTGCCTTGAAACAACCTATCTAGTGGGTAGCATCCCTGCTGATGGCAGGAGGGGCTTGGAACTAGATGGTCCTTTCCAATCAAAGGCATTTGATGATTCTGTTAAACAGAATCCATAGGGATGATCGTGGGTTTAGATTTCACGTTCTGTTTTGGGGAATGACTGTATGTCCTGATGCTCTGAAAGAGTTTGCGATGCTAAATTCTGCTAAATCTGGGGTCTTTGTGCTTCTCCCTTCGGTAGCTAATGTATTTTTCCATTATTTCGAAATCAGGGTTGAGAATGGGTCCCCCTCACACTTCTGGTCAGTGGCAGACATAATGTTTTTTACTTGCTGACAGCTGATGAAGATTTGAGCACCTCAGTAGCATGTCTGATCTGGGTGAGACTCACCTAATGCAGATGTATCTGAAGCCACAGAGAGGTGTTCAGTTTACTAATAGCTGTGTTGTGTGAAATTATAGCCATCACAGATAGGTGGCATTTCTTTCTGGAGTAGATTAAGGAGTGAACATATAACTTACTGTGCTGGCAAAGGCTTTATGTTAGCTCTCACATGCTTCAACAACAGTTTCTTATGGCTGCCTGAAGAGGATTATGCAGCTGAAATCCAGAGGGGGTGAACTCTAGTCAGGGACAGTAAGGTTGTCAACCAGCACAGCTGGACTTGAAAGATGATGTTCAAATGTGAAAGCCACCTCTAGCATCTATATTACTCTGTTGGCAGTGATAATTTTGGTAGTGACTTCTCATTAAATTATTTAAGATTTGAGACTTGTGAGTGTTGTAGTATATGTGTGTACCAGATCAAAGTACTTTACTGCTGAGCGAGGTGGTTACAGTCCTAGTATAAGCAGCACTTAAAGAGAATTGAAAGAGGCTAAAGTAGATTTTTTTCTTGCCTCTCCACCCATATGAAAATGTATGGGTACATATGCCAGGACTAAATACTACTTTTTAACCCTTCATTAATTATGTATAACATTGGTAACTTTACCTTGCTACCACTCACATTAACCACTTTTTATTATTTAACCCAGTCACCATTTCTCAGAAGGAAATCTGTAAAGCCCTACGAAGCTAATTGCAGTGTTAAGATAAATGAAAAGTTAAGCGTAAAAGTTTGATGCTGATAATGCACCCTGAAGTTTCAGATTTGTTTTCTGTTGACCAGATCTGGCTATGTTTTTCAGGTAACTTCTTATTTTTCCTGCATGTTAGGAACACATGTTTTGGTGGGTCATACAGCAGTCTAAAGAAACTAAGAAATGGGCAACTCACAAGTTTTTCTTGACGTGCTGAATTAGGGAGATCAGGGTTTTATTCCTGGCTTATTTCTCAACATTTCTGTGTTTGCAGATGAGGTGCAGTTCCTTTGACAATTGACAAGACTGTTACAGAGAGCACACTTTTAATTGCTGATGAGTAGAATTTACCTTTATGTCTTACTTATGAGGGCAGCACATTTCATATGCAAAAATAGATCTTGCATAAAACTTAACATTTAAGAAGTCTAATTATAATTTTTGTAGTACTTTGTAGTTCCTGACAGATTTTAGTTTTGGTGAAATCTGCAATTGTTTGTGTTCTTAGCTATGCTTATGAAATTAAATGCGCTAAATCCAAAATTATTCTTGTGATACATTGAGCAGAGATCTTTTGAAAATTAATATGCTATTGGAAAAGTACAAACACTGTCATACTTTTTCAATATCTGTGTCTCTGCGTCTACCTAAAATGCTTTATTTTGGAGGATAGTTTGAGGGAACAAGAAGTTCATCTTCTATTTATTTTCTTCTGAGTCAGAGTGAATGCTTTAACACATGATGTTTCAGGGAACTTTGTATCTTACTCTGATTTAACTATGCAAAACAGAAAAGTGAGAAATAATCTATGAGTGATTTTAATTTTTAATTTTGAGATAGCCTTGTCTGGGAGACATGATGTTTCTCAAGTTTTGTTTCACAGTCTTGGCCATAAGCCATTCATCTTTGTTGAATACTATTTTAAGGTGAAATTAGCAACAAAGTTTTATGTCAGAAACATCTGTAAAACATTAACTTGTGTGTTTGCTCTATTTTTTGCATTACAGAATGATGATGCAGTATTTCTAAATTAAAAAATTGATGTGTGTATTCTATACTTTAAGATGATTTTTTTTTACTGCTGAGTCTACAAAGGAGCTAATGCTAAATTAGTTTCATGAGTGATCATACTTACTAAAA